CCCGCAGCCGAAGCGGACACTCAACCACGAGGCCACGGCTGGTTTTTTTTTTCATGGTATTTATTAAAGTACTTGGGCAATAAAAACAAAATCAAGCGAACAAGAGTACAATCAAATCGCGAAAGTAAGCGTTCAAGTGTTACTCATAAACACTAAATGGCTAACACAGCGCGAGTTCCTCACATGGAGAGTTCTTCACATCGTGTTATACAAACAAAAAAAGGGGTGAGGTCAAACAGTTCCCTAAGACGGAGTACCAGTCCGGTCTAAAGTCTAGCTCGTCGTAAATGTTTTTTTAGGTGGATAGCCATTTGAATGAAGTGTGCGCTTGAAGAGGTGGTGGGCTCTGCATTGCGGTCTTGCATTCGTGTCTTCCACAAGCTGTGCATACCCATGAGGAAAAACATATCATATGGTACTTCATCAAGCGCTTCTGGCAGAAGATAACGTATTGTGTGAGAATTAATGACGAAACGCTTTTTTCAGTGCTCGCTGAAGGACATCCCAAAATAGTATGGCATCTTTGCAGCTAACAAAGCAATGTTCAATCGTTTCCGGCACATCACATAGACGGCCGTTAACAGACGGAATGAAAATACCTTTTCTTTCTAACCATGTGTTTACCGCCAATGTTTCAGCGTGGAGTTTATAGAAGAATGTTTTTGAATTCGGTGGAATGTACATTTTGCGCACTCGCTTCAACACATCGTGACATGGAAGATTGGCGTACAGTGAACGGTACAATGGAGGTGGGAAGAGTGTACTCAGTAGGTCCTTATACAGCACCATGCGCGATACTGTGTACAGGTATTCTACAAAGAAGCGAGCTTTAAGGAACTGAACTGCGAGGTAAACTTCCTGCATGAATCCCCACAAGCATGGGCGTTCGGAGAAGTTGGATGAAACAATTAAATCTGGTAAGCAATCAACAAGTGTAATCTGCAAGAAGGAACGGATTACAGGATGGGAATTGTCTCGAAAAAAGAAGAATCGGGACACTATTTGCCATAGATAAAGGTGTTTTAGTCCTCACCCACCCTCACTAACTGGCTTGAATATATTATCACGACGCATGGGCTCAAAAGTCGAAGACCATATGAAAGTAGCGAAAATCCGATGAAATCGTTGTATATAGAATCTTGCGCAATGAATAAGTTGCAATACATAGTAAAGTTTTGTCGCTAAGAAAGTATTGCAAGCTTCAGCTCTCCCAAATATCGAAAGTCGATAGGGCACAAATGTCTGGGCCTGTCGTTCAAGCTTAGGGACGCGTTCCTTCCAGTAATGCGCACTGAATCTATATGCATGCAATGGTACGCCGAGGTATGTTGGAGGAGTTCTTGTCCAATTAATCCCTGCAAAGTGGTTCGGTGTGCTACCCCACTAGCCAAACCACAGTCCTAAACTTTTAGAGGCATATAAACGAGCTCCTGATACTACGCCAAACTTTTCAATAGTATATACCACATTTTCGACACTTGGTTTATCTGTGCAAAAGAATGCGACATCGTCTGCATAAGCCAATACTTTAACCTCACTGTCTAATATTCTAAAGCCACGAATGCAACTCGACTGTATTATGCTTAAGCACAGTGGTTCTAGATAAAGTGCAAATAAAAGAGGTGACATCGGGCATCCCTGTTTTACAGAAGAGTGAATAGAAACTGGCTTGGAGAGTTGACCATTAACTATCAGACGAGTTGAGCATTCATTATAGCATAATTTAACGCCTTTAAGAACAACTTTGCCAACATTAGCTTGTTCGAGAAGAGAAAAAAGGAAGGAATGACGAACACGATCAAAAGCTTTTGCAAGGTCTACCTGTAGCATTGCAAGATGTTTTTGAGAACCATGACAGTATTGAAGCACTGTTCGAGCGACATGTATATTGGTTTGTATGGATCGACCTCTGATCCCACATGTCTGATGAGACACAATGAGGATCGACATAGCAAATTGCAACCTATTTGCTAATACTTTCGCGAAAATTTTGTAGTCCACGTTTGACAGCGATATTGGTCTGTAGCCCTCGACGAAGCGAAGTTTTTCCTTGTCAGTTGTTTTCGGTATTAACACAGTGTGACTTTTGCAAAAAGATTGTGGGAGTGTATCCATGTCATAACTCATCTGAAAAATATTCAGCAATATAGGAGCAAGCGTTTTCTTGAAAGCTTTGTAAAATTCGCCTGAGATGCCATCAGGGCCCGGTGTTTTCAATAAAGGCAAGTTGTCGATTGCTTGCTCGATTTCCTGTATAGTAATGGGCCCATTAATGACTGCACAATCATTGTCCTTCAAAGGGTTCACAAGAGAAACAAAACTAGCCTTGAGGTGAGCGTCAAGATCATCAGAGGGAGAGGTAAATAAGCTGTTATAGTACGTTTCGAACACCAAAGTAATGTCTCATGTCTCAGTTATCTTTTATGAGCACATCGTTAAAGTACAAGTCTGGAATAACTTTAGAAATCGCATGGCGTTGCTCATCAAGTAAAGCTTGGTGCGTCGGTTGCTCAGAATTTAAAGTGCGCTGGTTCCGAGATCTAATACGTGCCCCTTGGTAGCGAGCAGCATCATATCTCTGTAGTTGGCACTTAATATTCTCAATATCTTTGATGTACTTTCCCGGCATTTCGCATTCCATCTCATAAAGATTGCAAAGACTTTTAACAAGTATCTTTTCATCATTCTTTCTATAGAAAGACTTAACAGCCCCAATTTCTAAAGCTATAGCACGAACTTCTTGTTTAAAAAGCTCCCAAGCAGCGAAGATATGAAAACCAATCGAAAAAGATTGCCTCAATGCCATCTGGACGCGATTCATGAATTCCTGATCACAGAGGAGCTTCGCATTCATTTTCCAAAGTGCCCACTGGGGACGGAATTGTTTGTGACGATTTTCACCAATTTGCGCTATGACAATACAATGGTCTGAAAATAATACAGCTTCGGTGCTGCAGGAAATTTTACGAGATAGGAGGGATGAGGACACGTAAATCCGGTCAAGGCGAGCATGAGAGCTGCCTTGTACTCTTGTATATGCTGTTGCCCGATTCGAGACCCCGATGTCAATTAGTCCTGCATTATCTACAATACCGGATAAAAGCTCAGCACTCCTGTCTCTCTTTCCAGACGAATTCTAACGATCAATAGCTTCACATACGCAGTTGAAATCTCCCATAAGTACCGTGCATCTGTCGACGTCAATTAATTTACGCACTTTTTCAAATAACTCAAGTCGTTTCGGAACATCATTAAACGCATAAAGATTGAGAATTCTCCATGGCACTCCTTGCAACAAACAATCACAGCATATATACCTGCCCTCTTCATCAACACTAGTGCAGAATGCTGAACAGGGTAGGCTTTTTCTCAGAAACAACCAACAGCCCGCAGATAAACCTTTAGCATGTGAGACACACACATTAAACTGAGACAGAAAAGGCCGCAGGGCCTTCTCGGTCTCTTCCTCGCTCTCGATCTTTGTCTCTTGGATGGCGACAAAGTCGAGACGCTTCTGATTGAGAAGTCTACGGAGTTGTGCTTGTTTCTGCGAAGACCTAAGGCCGCGTACGTTCAAGGTGGCAAAGATGAGTCGCTCAGACTGCGCCATGGTGACTACCTTCTAATTCGCTTATCGTCCCACTTGATCAGTACCAAGAGTTGGCGCTGAGGCTTCCCGTGAGCCCCCAGCAGGCCTCCTAGATCGGGATCGGCGACACTTCCCCTTTGGCATGGACTTTCGGCGACGGCGTGACTCCCTAGTCACTGACGCTGGGTCACTCCCTTTGCTTGAATCCGAGCTGGACGATGCGCGACGTTTCAGTATTGCTGTATCCGTAGAGATCTGCATATCATCTTCCGACACTGCACCATGATGAAAAAGCTGCTGCGGAGCTGCAGCGCAAGCAGGCGATGAACTTTCTGCGGCATCCAGCCCAGAGTCTCTATCTTGTACTGGTGGTTCTTCGGCATCTTTATGGGTCAGCGCAACAGCACTCTCCATAGGAACTCCTACTTGTGCTAGGGGTTGTGCGGAGTCGTTTTGGGTATGCTGCTTGCATGATTCACTTGGCTCTTTGCACGCAGAAGTTTCAACTGTGTCAACAGCGAGTGACTTTCTTTCCTCTTCTGGATTCCTTGTGGTAGAGCTTGCAGCATATGACATTGACCGAGTGTCTCCCGTTGCATCCAAAACCTCGGTGGCATCCATAATATGCTCTTGTAGGTTATCATCTGGCTGTTTTGTGTGTTGTCGCAGCTTGTTGGCGTATGTCATAACACAATCTTCGGCCGAATGACCGAAGCGTCGACAGTTGTCACAGCGAGGGGTCCTGCAGTTTCGACGGATGTGTCCAACCTTACTGCACCGAAGGCAAATTGGTGGGCGGCCAGGTATCAGGACGAGGCTTTGCACTCCGCAGACAACAAGAATATGAGGAATATCCGCAATGCGAACTCCATCAGCAAGGGACAAAACAACATCCCTATTTAGCGTCCGCATTTGTTCCATGTCCGCTACTTTCCAGCTTTCTTGTGATATTGTCTTGACCTTCCCAAAAACTTGCAGTGCCTCGCACACATAGGCGTCCTCCAAGCGCTCAGGAAGCCACATAAGCTTCAACTTCACTTCTGTGGGCTCCGGGTCTATAACGAGGCATCGACGACTTTTGACGAAACATTCGCCTCTTGTGACCAACTTTGTTTTCGTCAGCGTTGACTTGCATGTGACCATCCAAACATGAGACATTTGAAATTGACATATGGAGCTTATTTCCTTCAAGTCAATGATAACCCGAAGAGCATCTCTAAAATCTTGAACCCGGTAGGGGCGACCAGCTAAGTCCGCATGTAGAAAGACAGAGTCCACAACAAGCTTACCGGTGGGAAGGCGAGGAAGTACAACACGGTAGTCATTGCCGCTGGCTGAAGCCTGAGCAGCACCTCGGCCCATGGCCGATAAATCCTTCGAAGCGGAGAACATGAAAAACGCGTCCGTTCAGAACGTCGTCTTCGTCTTTCTCCTGCACGAGGCCACGGCTGCTGTGGTGTGGAAGGTTGGACCAACCTTCCACGAGGCCACGGCTGCTGTGGTGTGGAAGGTTGGTGATGCGCTATTTACGGCTACGCTGAGCCGTCTAGCATGAATTGTGAACGAAAACGCATGCAAGAGGCAAAATGTAATCGAATGCGTGGCGTGAATTTCTTCCAAACGTGGTTGGTTGGTGCCTGTGGCTCACGGCATCCCCGCAATCAGAGTGGCGCAAAGCTAGCGGTCAAATTTCGCCCGGAATATGGACCTTAAATATACCCCTTTCTAGCACTCGAGTACCTGCTTCACTGCGTAATTGGTTCGCTTTCTGCAATTTATCTGCGGAAACCTGCAAAATATCAAATCAAAGAGTCTCCACTAAATTTTGTATTGGTGTTGCCATCTGTCAACACTGAAACAAAACAAAGCAGACAAGCTTTGTTGTATATACAACAGATGGCAACAACGTCTTGTAATTTATTGTTGTTTTTTTTAGTTGAATTGGTAGCAATTGTCTCCGCACTGCACGTTCCGCGTGTTTATTTATTGTGTGGTTCGTTAGTGCGCGAGAGCCTGTTGCATTTATCGAGAGATCTTCTTATCAGAGTTTTATTTCTCAAAAGTAAGTACTGAGTTTAATTCATTCTTCTCACATAGCTATCGATATCACGCCAATAAATCCTAGCATAATTATAGTGTACTAGAGTATATTCTAGTACACTAGAGCATAATATCACAGTTAAGCAGGGGCATTATAGTGCCACGGTACCAGGTGTGTCACGCCGGGCTTTTTCAGGATGTCAATTTTAACGATAGTTATAGCGTGAGAACAGAACGACTACAAAAAAAACAAAAACAAGAAGGACAATATTGCTCGTGTTCTTCTTGTCTCTTCGTTGTCGTTCTGTTCTCGCGCTATAACTATCGTCATGTCGTACCAACTAGCCCAAACTGCCACACTTCTAAATCCATTTTAAGCAGCCCACCCCCCCCTCGATCCCTCCTCCCCGAAAAAACAACAGTTAACGCCAAAAACTGAAAACCATGCGATACAAGAGCTGCTTTGACTAACTGAAACTTTGAATTTAGATACCCAGCCTGTTCTCAAACGCGCTAACATCCACTAGCTCGGTCGAATGCAGTCATAAAGTGTTTAATAATGGAACGTTTTCTCGGGCTCAACAAGCATTAGGCCTTGAGTCTACATTATGACAGAATTGGCGAATCTCCCGTTGACATAAATCACATTGAAGCAATAAAACAGTCAGTTGTTAGTCAGCGCTCGTCCTGTCTTTTTTTTTTTTTCATTCGTCTTTTCTAACATTGCACTGTGTTTAGCTTTTACCGCGTTGATAAGTTGCAATGATTAATCCCTAGCTTCCGTAGACATGAATGGCGCTTCGCAATAATTGAGGGAAATATATGTGCAAAAGCTCCTTTTTTGTTGTTGTTGTTGTTGCTTCTTTAGTTAGACACAAAACAGTAATCAGAACTGGCAGACAATGACAACTTACCGCTGGCAGAAACCGAACCTGCGACCTTCGAATAATGCATCCGATATTCTCTACCAGCTGAACTACGGCCATCGTTTTCGCAACGACGCGCATTTAGAGCGTATGCCCAGCGGTGGCGGTTCGAATCCTTATCATCAGGGCGATCTGGCCGTTATACGAAAAAAAAAAAGGAGCCCCACCCATGTGCCACCCGTCATGCACATGGACCATGTTGCGATAGGAGTCAGTTACGCGATCTGTGAGCGATAACCGCGCAACATGCAGCTCGAACTCGTGGTGAGTGAGGCGTGCGGTGCACGGTACTGAGGTACGCGATGCAGAACACCGTCCTCTCGAGGTTTCTTTGTAAACGACGGCGACTGAGCGCGGCACGTCGTAGCCATTTAACTTAGCGACTTTTTTTTACTCATCAGCTTTTCCTCCCTTTGCAGGTCAGTGGTTGCTCACATGTTTTGACGGGATTTGAATGGCGTAGGCTGCCTTTCCCAGAGGTTTCACCCCTGAAGAAGCCAAGTGTCGGACCGGGGTACGCCTGTGCCCATTTAGAAAACCGGTGGGTGACCGGCGGTAACGCGGGTTTGAACCCACGACCTCCCGCAGCCGAAGCGGACACTCAACCACGAGGCCACGGCTGCGGTAGCTCTGCCGGCGCTACAACGCGGGTTTTATGTGCACCGTACCGTTTCACTATACAAATACCAGATGGCGCTAGCGTCTTTGAAAATCGCGAGATCGGCAAAGTAGCCCTCTCGCAACAGCGCTTATGATTTGCAAAACTACCATACGCTGCATGCAACGTTTTGCACGCAGTGCAATGTTTTTAAGAAACTAGAACTTTGACTGTATGAAAGGAAATACAAATACACCAGTGGCGACAATCTCTGAGGCAGTTGAGATTCGCTGATTGTCGCGCTGTCTGAAGACAAAACAAACAAGCTACTAAACGGTCTTTGTGTTTGAACTTTGAGAGGACGTTGATAAAGATGCAACGCTACTAGATCGCTGGATAAGATGGTAGTATATAGGTGTTCTGTAATCGCGCGCAGTAAGCATTCAGTCCAGCAGAGAGGGGTGGGGGGGGGGGGCGATCGCTTCCCTCAGTAGTGCCTGTGTTAGCACCCCTGAATCCTCCCTAATTCAGTGTCTGTCGTCCAACGATTAGGGGAAATGATAGACCACGGTGAGAAGAAATTCAATACTTAGGACGTGATGTGGTTCTCTCGATTATCGTAACTACTAAAATCAAAAGACTCAGGACCTCTCGACGTCTCTGGTTTCACCACATAACTTCGGTTTTACATCAAGTAGAGTGCCTAGACTTCTAGCTACCCTTCCTCAAGCGACCGCCTTCCCTTAAAATGAGTTGCTGTATCCGCACCTAGACTGCATCCGATTAACTACAGAGACTCCTGCCGCAGCACCTATTCAGAGTAGGAAGACACAACATATCCCATGCGAATGGAAGCGCTACTTCATCATGCATCCACAGTTCCACGAACATCTACATATATTGGACACTGGCCAAGGCTCGAGCACGCAAATTGCTCATACGTGCTCTTTGCAGCTGGACCAGTGAACAGCAAACACACGGCAAGTGTCATTCACCAAGCAAAAATAAATTGATTGTATTTCAACGCCCCGGACGCAATTTAACTATACAGCATGGCAGAGACTCACAAGCAGCATACCGAAATTTCTGCAAATGCCAGCTTATGCTCATTGCACACCGATTACTCGCATAGCAGTCGTCACCACTATTATTGGGAGAATGAAAGTAGCTGATATGGATACCCAGCCACCGCAGAGTCAGAGGCAGTGAGCTTGCCAACGCCTTGGTCCGAGAATTACTATTCCAGATCGAAGGCCCTGGCATACCACGCCCACCATCGGTAATGCATATATATGGACCTTTTACACACATGCTCTAAAATTCTGCAACATCGAACGAGGGAAACATCTGCCCCCGAGTCCCAACCTCAGTGAAGAACCCAAGGTATATCACTTTGGCACCGCCGGCAGACACTGTACGTCGTACCCAACTCATACATATTACATAAAATATATGATAGATCTCGACACACATGCACAAGAGTGCAGATTCTACGACAGTTAAACAGCCACCTTGTATCACGTGCGATGGGAATGTCCACACAAGCCACCCACACAACCCATGACACAGCCCAACAAAAAAGTGGTGACAAGCAGCTCTGTACAGCTCAGATTTCAAGACCCAAGAAGTTTTTGAGAGATGCAGAGGACAGTAGCCCACCCCAGTGGTATCCCAGACTAATAAGGATCGCATTCACTGACCTCACTGAGAGACCACACGACCATTTTATTTCCTCTCTCTCGAGATCACAGCCAAATGTGCATCTTTTGACCGAGTTGTGCATCACACTCTGCACTTTCTGTTGACACGTACTTACAACTCTACTTCACAAGAGTTCACTTTCATTAATTATGATGAAGACTGAACATGACCATTGACTTTAGCTCGCGTTTTAGGAGCTGGTAATGTTGTCACGGTACTATAATGGTGGCAATGGCCCTTGTGGTCAGTTGATTGTAATGCATGAGCCCTCTGGGGCTCTGTTCCTCTAGATTGTGTGCTAAATCTGTGCAGTAACTCATGCAGTCAATAGAGCTGGGGTTATTCTATCGGCAGCACCCTCTGAAGAGGCATCAAATGAGTTTAGTACTGCTGCAACAGTAGCTGTAACTTTTATTTTAAGCACACAGTTTTGTTAACCGCATTACGCAAGGATCGAGCCAGCCCCATACATTCAAACCTAGATATAGTGAACTCGGATATAACAAATTATTGGTCATAACGAAGTAGGCAAAGAGTACTTTTGTTACAGATACAGAGTTATGAATAACCGTTTGTAACAAACGTTTGGATATAACAAGATATTTTTTAGGCAGATTTGACTTTGTTATAATGAGGTTTGAGTGCATTTTTGTCTGGCATGAAATCATATATCTCATGCTATGTTTCGACTGCAATATCGACGACCACCTCCAAGATGAATGACCTGATATAAAAAGCTAAAAAAGAGTTGCTTTTCACGTTTGACACGCACATGCATGGAATGAATTGTTTCCCGAGAGTGAGGCGCTTGATTTGGAGAGATCCGTCAGTCTCTTTTGTTCGTTCACACAGGCCGGCTTAACTTTTCCTTGAATCTTCATTCACCTGGCAAGCTTCTACCAAACTGATCTGACTGTTTCTCGGCAAGCTGCACTGCGCTGAAACCATTTAAGTGCCCAAGGTTCTTCGGCTACATGTTTTGTGATATTGACAGTGTCACATGTAGTGCAATTAGATGCACCGAACAACATGCCTTACTTTTTGACGCACGGAAAACCTCTTCATTTTTAATATTCAATTTTGGTGCAAGTATTTTGAGAAAAGTTTACAAAAACTATATTAGACACACGAAAAAAAAAACTGCGGCTTGTGATATAGCTGCCATGAGGTGGTTAGTGTTGCTGACCACCGTTCCAGAGCATATGGGTCCTTATAGAGTGCGTACTGCATACAAACAATTTGACGTCTACTCGACCTCTGGACCAGGAAGCTCCGCCATCCTCCTATGCGTCTATTTTGACACGATCAATTTTCACAGGCATACGGAGTCGGCTGGGAAATTTCAGATACACCGTCTCCCAGTTGGTGTGATTTTGATTACTCTTGCTATGTTCTGGCAGCAAACAATGCAGTGTTGGATCATGTGCAGGGCTGTATGGGGTAGTAAAGCTGTCCTCATCAGAAACCACACATTGGCACGTACTGTCCACGCACCTGCATACAACCTGAATTGTGGATAGGCATAGTGTGTTCTCGGTAGGTATAGAAGCCATGTCTATTGGAAACAGGTTTTCTATTTCATACCAGCACTCTTTGTTCCATTCCTGCCCTAGGCAACAAAGTTTCCAGACATTGCAGAGGCTCTTCAGCGGTCCTTCGAGCTGTTCACACGAATTCTCTTCAATACATACTTGATTTAGAGCGGCCTGCGACGACACTAAATTCTACACGTAGCAGACGTTTCTCCAGGGGTGATCCAGATTTGTTTTGATAACTTAGCGCGTCACCTTATATTTGTGCAGCACTCCCTTCAAACGTTGAAATTCGTCTCACTTTCCATATTGCTCGCAGCACAATGGTGTCTTGTCAAGAAGCCATCGGTTGTACCACTTTAACGTGGTGGCATCAAGATAACATGTCAAGTTTTGAATTTTTACGTCCTAAGATAGCCACTTATTATCTTGCATTGTGTATTCATTAAAAAAGTATATATATCCATAGCTGAGGCCTTCGAGCGCTTTGTTAAGAAATATCCGGCCTTTATGGCTTCAATCGCTTTCTTGTTTGGCATCTCGTGACATCTGCAACAAATTGCATTAGCGTTCTATTTGCGCACCATTTCATCTCATCTATCACCGTAGCACCTGGGCGTACCGGTGCGAACTGGCCAGTAAGAGTACGTCCAGTACTGGTCTGTACTGGGTATATAGGTTTGTCGAAAGATGCCGTAAGGTTGCATGTGCAGGTTACCAAATGTGATTAATTTACGTGAACGAGGATCCAAGGAAGATATAGGGTAAGTTAATTGCACCATTTTAAGTGTATTGTAGTAATTGTGACAGCAAGGCACGGAAGGTAAAAAGGATGGAAAGTCCAATTGTCACCGGGAATGACCAGACCGGCAAATTTTGGTCCATGCACGTTTTATTACAACATTCGATTACGCAGGTGCGCTCCCTGCCAGCGTCGTCTTTTCGTCCACTTTACTTTCTTCACATATGTATAAAAATTATCACATTGCACCTAAAGCAGTACAATTAGCATTTCCTGTACCTTCCTTGGGTTCATTATTTGCAGGCTCTCATTAAGGTAGTTTCAAACAAAAAACAAGCCCTCGAAAGTTCTCTCCATTTATTAAATCATGTGAAGCCCCGTGCATATGCTTGACATTTTATGCTAGTTCATACAGCTCCATACTTCTACAAGACTGCGGCTCTAATACAACCCAAACATGAATAATACAACCCAAACACAGGTTAATTGAAGAGCTATTTATGAAGACTGCTGGCTAAACATGTGCCAGTGTGCATTCGGTCTCGAAGTTCTGTAGCGAAAATTGTTTTCTAAAGGCGGGATTAACTTGAATATTGCCAAAAGCTAGTAGGCTAATAATAATGACGAATAAAGACCTAATAATGTTCTTCCTCAGACTGACCTTCATCATTGTAGATTTTTTTTTTCACAATAACTCATGTACCTGTCTATCTGCTCCCCCCACCCTTTTTGTGTTTCAAAAAATGCTATCACTAGCAAAACAGACATCTGGACGAATTGGTGGTTGGGAGAAAAAGGGTTAGGAGAAAATAAGAATGAGAAAAATACCTAGGTCTTCGTAGCTTTTACGGCTCTAATTTACACCCACACACCGTAGCTGATTATACACTTCTCTCGTTTTTCCCCGATTCGGTTAGTTAAATTTACATGTTGCCATTATTGTTATCATTTACGTCATCATGCAGTTTTCAGTTACGGGATCTCCTGTTAAATACATTTCGTGCAATTTTCATACATTATCGTGAAAGCCCACGAAAGCAGTGCGCCTCTGGTGGTTTGTTAAGGCTACATGATAACAATATTGTCTTCGTACTCCTCCACTCTGACTGGCTTCTTGTAGTTCTTTTATCTTCATCTTTGTCACTGTTTGGTAGCGAGTTGGTTAGGTGTGCGGAACGATTGATTGATATAGTGGTTTAACATCCCAAACCACCATATGATTATGAGAGAGGCAGTAGTTGAGGGCTCCGGTAATTTCAACCTTATGGGGTTCTTTAACGTGCACCCAAATCTGAGCACACGGGCCTACAACATTTCCGCCTCCATGGGAAATGCAGCCTCCGCAGCCGGGATTTGATCCCGCCACCTGCGGGTCAGCAGCCGAGTACCTTGGCCACTAGACCACCGCGGCGGGGCACCCCTGGCCGAGCTCAAAAAACAAGTTTTGCAATGGCTTACAAATAAAAATGAAGCTATTACGTGTTTCTTACAACGGCCTGAATTTGGTCCTTGGCTTTCTAATAGTAAAAACTGGAAGTAATCATTTCTTGCAATGCAGCAATAGAAACCTTCGGCCACTATTTCCATCAGAAGCCCCCGTGATCACAACCCTATTCTTCATGCCATGACGAGACCAGTCCGACAAAGTAAAACAATGTATGTTGCAGACTTTTTGCTACTTCCCCCTTCCCCACTCTCTCAGGTGATCAGGGGGCTCGGTCATCGCGCACAAGGAACTTCGCCGTACTACCATTTTGCATTAGTCGATGGGCCACAGATTTTTCATCATGTCTCTTCTTCTGTAACCACTTATTTCATCCCGCCACGAGTTTCATCATAGCACTAATGAGCGTACGCATTACCTTTCACGGTGACGCAGGTACCTTCGACATCGCTGAAGTCCCTGTTCGCCTCCTTGCTGCGGATCAACGCCACCCCCGGCAAACGGGATGACGACGCACTGCACTCCTCGTTCAACGAGCGGGTGTTCCGAATTGGCCCCACGCACTGGCCTCTCAGCAAGCTGCGCCAGTACACCAGGGTGAGCGTGAGTTTCAAGATAGGCGGGTGAACCGGCTGTGGGGGGGGGGGGGGGGGGCGAGGGCATGCAGGGAGGGGCGGCCGCGCTCTTTCTATGAACATCTAGGATAGAAGGGCGGAGTGAATTCCATATCTTTACTCAGTCAGATATGGCTTCCGATTATCTGATAAAGGTAAAAAAAAAAAAGGTGTAGGCACTCCGCCGATCAAAGTGAATTTCGAAACACGCAAGAAATATTACATCACCTCAACCGTGAGCTGCTTGCGAAGCAATGCATGGGTCGACTTAAAGCTCCGTTCATCACGTGCGAATTGCCAGGTGTTAACGCGTCCTTGCAAGTGAAGGACAGCATGAATTCGCTCAGTAGTTTCTGTTGCTGTTACTCGTCACGCACTCTAGTTGGAGCGCGCCACGCGGGTGCATGTGCAGAACCTCGTTGCCCGACACCATCACACGATTCCTAAGAGAGTGTAAGTGGGAGAGGCCTCAGTGTCGCAGCACCCAACACGGGCCTGGACGCACCAGTATGCGTCAGTGCGTTCTGGCAGTGCTTGGACCAGCTGTTGCGCATGCGCGTAAAGAGTGGGAACGCCGCATACCGGTCTTGAACTCCGCCGTAAGCTAATCGTATCTAAAAACGACCTTTTGGCTCCTAAAGAGGAGCCTTCTTCACAAGTTAAGTAAAATGAATACATGTGTTCGAGCAGATCGCCTTCTGTGCGCTCGAATATACCACGCAGGCAGCGCACACACATTAGATTGCCATCATTCCTGTTGAGAGTGTGCAAGGTGGTCTGTATCACGGGGGACTCAAGATGAGGACGCCGTGTTGGTGGGTTGGTTGCCAAACTTTACTGTGGTCCTGGAAGGCGGGCGTCAGCGCACAGCGGGCGACTGCCACGTAGGGATCGTTAGGCCAAGCAAGCCGCTCCGCGGGCCTGCTGGACGGCCCAAGTTGGTCGGCCAGGAAGGAGCTGCGTAGGGCCGCCTCCCACGTGACCGAAGTAGTGTAGGGGTTAGTGTACATCCTTGCACTTCCAGAGCATGTGCGCCAGCGTGGATACATCCGTGTGACAGTCTTTTTTTCGCTGTGGAGAACACGTGGATTCCCCCAGTCGATTGTGTGTCTCCCTGAAGCACGCTCAGCCAAAGCACTGGATTTCACATTTGCTTTCTCTACGTCGTAATCGCCCTGATCCAGGCGCCTTTCAATGTCGCCATTTTACGCATACCCGCATCCAATATATAGGGTTACGTCCTACCAGATTTCTGGCAACAATGATGACTGAATTCCTCTGATGTACTTCAAGAAGTGTTTACTGTACCAAGTTGACTGTACATACCCTCTTTACTCCCGTGAAGCCGGTCGTCAAAGGTAGGCCGCTGTAAGCAGCACGTCATTGGGGAGTTCCATTTGTTTTGCTTTTAGCATCCATCGCGAAGTTCCTTCTTCGTAACTTTGAAAGTGTGGCGAGTTGGTGCATGTTTATTTCTCAAGCAGCGCACGGAGACAAGACACAAAGGAACGAAAAGGACACGGCTGCTTCTTCTTCGTACTCGTTCAATGACAGGGCGGGGGGCGGGGGGTGAAACCTTGCCATTCTCCCAACCATTGTCCCCCACTCCTAACGGAGAGCCCGGCGCGTACCTACTCCCAGCAAGTGACAAGTAGAAATGGCTGTTCGATTGGAATGCCGCCATGCTCGAGTGCAAGGAAAAGAAGGTTGAGGGAGGCTAATTTAACTTTGTCAAGGAGTAAATCGGTGAGCGGTCGTCACTGCACCACAGCAGTAGCGGACAACAGCAACGCTCACAAAAAAACGTACGGCTCCACCGCTACGGTGAAGCACGAGGAAGTATATATCCCGGGCATCCAACAGTTCTTATTCGTACAGGTTTCACTGTTCTATTTGACAAATCGTCCTTCGAGTCCAGGTTGGAGGTGAGCAGGTATACACGTTTCCCCAGCGTGAGTAGAATATTGTTACGGAAGATCGAAAACTCGGTGTGCAACATGCGCAGTGTACTTTGCTGGTGCGCAGTATCGACTTCCCGCTTGTTAGGGCAGTTGAGATAGGCGCCATTCAAGCCGAGTTTCGTAATGTTGTTTCCCCATCGGGTGTAGCTACACAGCTCCGACACAGAGGAAAGGCCTAACTACACGTACGCGTCACATTGCGTCAGCGCGTGGCGTTTTGACGCGGCGACGCCGCCACCCTCTTCCTTCGAAGGGTGACGGAGCGCAGCTTCACGCAGCTTGCTCTCTCTCTCCATAGGGAGAGGGTGTGACGCCGCGTCAAAAGCCCCCACTCTGACGCGATGCAACGCGCGAGTGTGCCCAATTCCGGCGATTTTTCAAGGTCAATGAAATTCTCTGGGTACGTTCCATTCTTCCCAAATTGCAGGCTTTAGAGCTTCGCAGATTTCTTTTCATGTGAATTTTGTAGCTTGCCTTCAAACTCACACCTCGCTTGCCAGAATTATTGGCAAAATTGTGTGGGTTGCGTCGATGTTTACAAAGCGGAAGTGACGAAACTGATGTGCCACTGCAGCGTCTGCTTGTCCGCTATGGGTTTGGCCGGCGCTTCGTAGAGAAATATACTGTATAAAGAGTGGCCACTCGAGCCTTTTCGCGGCCGAGCAAGTGTGTTTAGACAAAGTTGTTAACGATTTAGAGTACGAGGTACTCTACAATGGGAGAGCATAACGCCGTCCCTTAAGCCTGAAAGCAGCCTCAGACCAATGGCTAAATTGCGTACTAATGATCACTTTCACTTTTTTGTGAAACAAACATTTGATAGCCTCCTTAAGAGGACAATGAGAGCCCAAGTTTGGCATCAAATTTTTGCAAAGAATAAGTCTGACTGATTTCTGCAATTTTTCATATCCGCTCTGCATCGTGTCCCGCTAAAGACGTTTAATGCTTTACCACAAAAATCAGTAAAGTTTCACTAGAAAGTGTTGTCTTTGTGCATTCGTTTTGCACAAAGGCTGCACATTCATGTGGTTTAAATGTGCGCAATGACTGTACAGGCATTCCTTTTGTGGAAGCATGGGTGTGTAGCCTACACTCGCTTTCGGAGCATGAGGGCATGGGTTCAAATCCCAACGTCCGAAAGAAAAATTTGTTACTTCATTTATGCTGAAGACATTATCGGGTCTCACCAGCCAGTCGTGGCGCGGAAAGTAGCGCAGTAGTGCGGCCGCAGGGGCCTACGGGAGTGTCCGCTCTTTTTTAAGTGTGAATACACTTTATAAGCTACCCCAAACCATCCACCGCCGTCGGCGGCGTCCGCAGTCTTCTCTCTATCTTTAAAAGAAAGAGGACTTGGCGGGCCGCAGCGCGACGTTCTACCGAATAAGCCATGGACGCGACGCTGATATCGGTGTCAGTAACGCGCCTTATACCCCCTCCCCCTTCGCCCGCTCCTCCGCTCTCCTTGCTCGCTGCAGCTGCGCGCGCACCCCTCTCTCTCGCGCGCCCGCCTTCTCTCTCAGTCTCCCGTCGAGAGCGGGTCGTGAGGGGGAGTAAAGTTAAAATCCGTTGGCATTCGCCAGTGAGTTAACGTAAACTCCCCCGTGTGATCAAATTGCGATTCCCAGGAACCATTACACCATAAAGGCACCATAGTGTGATTAATAAATATAATAGTGCGAATTAATAAATACCCCTCATAGCATCACCCCGTGTATTCGCACTTAATCATGTTCACCCTCGGGGAAATGCTTGGGAGTTTTATGTAATTATGTTTCTCTATGGGCGCCTTCTTGAGTGGGCGTGCGATTCCATAAACTGTATTGGCGGGCGTGCGATAGATGGAAAGTGGTGCTGCATTGAGGTTCGCACACGATTTGCCATATTATCTGGAGCATTGTAGCCTTTTCATCTCTGTAGCCTTTTCATCTCTTTCGTATCTGGAGCATTGTAGCATTGTAGGTTCTTTTCGTGTGGCACCCATTCGAGCGTCTAGTCTCGGCCTTCGAGGACAAGGCCGGAAAACCCAGGGACAGGGAACGCTTCTTCTACGAAGTCTACTGGGACCACATGCTGGCTGGCAACAACGGAAGCAGCAACAGCGACGCCACGACCACCTCTACCCGCGCCATCACTTTTCCCCAGTTTGTGGACTACTTACTTCGGGTGCCTGTGTCCCAGTGGGATGACCACTGGGCGCCATACTACTCCCGCTGCGAGCCGTGTCTCTTCCGGTACAATTTTGTGGGACACCTGGCGACGGCTGTACGAGATATGGCGCTGCTGTGGCGACGCATGGGTCTCAAGATCCCGCCATAGTCATCGACACTGGAGCATCGCAACGAGACACCTGGGGAGCGTCACCGGCGACGATACTTCGACCAACTGACGGCGAGTGAGGTGGAAGGACTGTACCAGCGGTACTTCTACGATTTTATGCTGTTCGGCTATGACCACCGAAACTATACTGCCGGTTCTGATAGCTGAATCACTGCACCGCCAGCTGATACGAATGTGACAGTTACGTTCTTCAATGTGTGCACGGGACGTCTTGCACTGTGCAGAAACAAGAAGTCTTCGTAAGATCCAGGCCCAAGACATGCACGGATTACGGGTGCAATATCCTGACCCTTCCTTCCCCTTGGATTTTGCGTAGATATTGCTAAGCGACACTAATGGCACCCGACAAACTCCCTGTTGCAGTGAAGTTGGCTTGGGAATACGAAGGCTTTTAGCTCCGTAATACTTACGTTGCGAGTCGTGTCACTTCCAGTGCACCTGTGGGACATCCGTAAAACGGCTGAACAGGACATGGCACTATTGTGGTCACGTGTGGATCTAAAGACACCGTAGCAGTCGTAGACGCTGGAGAGCCGTAACTCCTGGGAAGAAACATCGACTTTGCTACTTCGCCCAACTGACCACTAGTCAGGTGGGAAGAGTACATAGGCAGTACTTCTACTACTTCGTGCTGTTCGGGTACGACCAACGAAGCTGCGTGTAGCGGATGCGGCGATGCCGAAAT